TAGAAGAGCACCTGGAAGGTTTCAGACATAGTGAGGCCAACGAGCGGGCATTCCTGCAAATCCGCCCCATGATTTGTACACACGCTCAGTCCCAGGTGCCGCACGGATGTCATCGGCGCAGGCTCTCGCGTTGCCGTGCTTCGGCTCTACAAAAATATTCTCCATCGCCACACGCCAGAAGAAAGTGGGTACACCTTCAATACTCCGCTCTGGATCTGGAGCAGGAACTCCAGTCCCGGTCCCGTGGACAGGCACGAAGCGTTCAGGCGGGGCAGGCTCTGGATCGCCATCTTCGCGCCCGTCGTGAACTCGGGAGCGGCCAAGAGGGGGGGTGTCCAAGAGGGGGGGGTGCAAATCATGACCGGCGGCATGTGCGCGGCCCAGCGGGGGGGCCAGGGACGCAATGAAATAAGAAGAGGCGCCATGAAATCTGGGGAATTATCATGGCCCCCACCATGAGATTCACCCCCCCTAATCATCACCCCCCTCTTCTCCGCCCCCGAGGAACGGCGCGGTGCCGACGCATCTCTCGGGCCGGTGCCGGCTGCCGAACGGGAACGCCTGCGCACAGCCGCACAGCTGCAGGCTCGGCGCTGCCGAGTAGCCTTCGGCGGCTGCGCGGCGGCAGGCTCCGCGTGCGGCCGCAACCGGGTCCACCCAGTTTTGTGGACCAGATTTCGGCCCTCCTCCTCCTCCTCCTCCTCCTCCTCCTTCTCCTCCTCCTCCTCCTCCTCGTCCACCTCCTCCTCCTCCTCCGCCTCCTCCTCCTCACACCTCACCTCCACCTCCTCCTCCTCATCGTCCTCCTCCTCCCCCTCCTCCTCCTCCATCCTCCTCCCCTCCTCCTCCTCCTCCTCCTCCTCCTCCTCCTCCTCCTCCTCCTCCTCCTCTCCTCCTCCTTCCTCCTCCTCCTCCTCCCCCTCTCCTCCTCATCCTCCTCTCTCCTCCTCCTCCTCCTCCTCCTCCTCCTCCTCCCGCCTCCTCTCTCCCTCCTCCTCCTCCTCCTCCTCCTCTCCTCCTCCTCATCCCTTCTCCTCCTCCTCCTCCTCCTCCTCGCTCCTCCTCCTCCTCCTCCTCCTCCTCCTCCTCCTCCTCCTCCTCCTCCTCCTCCTCCTCCTCCTCCTCCTCCTCCTCCTCCTCCGTGAGCCTGTTCTGAATCTTCGCGCCAGCTTTTTCCACTGCAGGAGGTGAGAGCGCAGTTGAGCGTGGCCGCCAGGAGGAGAACGACGACGACAAGGAGGACGAGCACGAGAATGAGGTGGAGAAGCAGAGGAAAAAATCCCCCACGAGGAGGACATCGATCGTCGAATCACTCCAGCCAGCACCCATTTACGCTGTTGTTACGGGGTGGGGGTGGGAACCACCTACACGACCACCCCAACCCAACCCGAAAACCCGAATTTCGGGTTTGGGGAGGGGGGGGGGGTACGGGCTTCCTTCGCACGGTTGTTTTCCATGTTCCCCGTCCCCCACCCTCCCCACTAGAAGTGGAGGGCAGATCGGGGCCTTCGGGCTGGGTTGGGATGCGTTTGGTGGGCGGCGAGCGTGCGCAGCGGCTCCTCCGCGTCCGCCTCCAGGCGCCTGGCCTCCTCGGGCGAGGCCTCGTCGACGCCGCCCTGCCGCGAGGAGTCCACCGCCTGGGAGGGAAGGGGGCGCTCTGTGCGCACTGCGCCGAGCCTGAGGCCAGGCCCTGATGGGCAACGAGGGGGGGGGGGGGGGGGGAACTGGCAAAAAGGGAGGGTATTGCTAGAAGTGCCCGTGGCCCAAGGCACCCCCAGCTTTTCGTCCATTCGTGGGCCCCTGGGGCCCCCTGGGCCTCGTGAGGGGTGCTCTGGAGGCCGTCTGGGCCACCCCGAGAATCCTGGGGGCACCATGGGCCAGGGGCACTTCTGGCAACACCTGATAAAGGGGACACACGGGCGATCTCGGAAACCCTGAACTCGCCAGCGTCTTCGTCTCTCGGGGGCGCCCTTTTTGCTTCCACACACACACACACACACACACACACACGCCAGCGCCCCCCCTCGTCCACAGCTCTGAAGGCCTAGTCTTGGGCTAGTAACACTGCCCACCGAAGCCAGAACCTAAGCAGGCGCCCGGCGCAGTCGGACCTGTCCGATCGGAGGCGGCCTCCGTTTTGCTTCCGCCGACCCTCCGCAGACCCTTTCCGCCGCCCTCCGCGGCCGAAGAGACGACAACTCCTCCGATCCTCGCAGGCGAAGCCCTTCTTGGAGCGCCCTGCATCGACCTGGAATCGGCGATAACCGCCGACAGGGCGGCGATCGGGCCCCGATCGTGCACCCGCACGCTCCTGGGCAGGTCCGGGCCATCGGGCCTCCATCGGAGATCAGTGGGCGATTGGGGAGATCAGTGGGCGATTGGAGGGGATAGGCATAGGGGGGTACGCGTCGACCGTCGACGCGTCCCCCCCTATGCCTATCCCCTCCTGTCGCTGCCCCTGGTGGCCCACTCCTCGCCCGGAGCCCAGGGTCGGTGCACGCGCACTCCTGGCCTGCCCCAGGGCAGCACCTGAGCACCGACCCTGGTGCCCCGGCTGGGTGTGCCCAGGGCCGGTGCTCGGGCGGGTGGCAGTTGGGGTTGACCTAGGAAAGGGGGGTGAAGAGCCCTCAAGTTCGGTGGCAACTCGTGGGAGCCTCCCGTACCCTCTTGTTGGCCCTTGCGAATCGACGCTGATCGACGCTAAGTCCACGCTAATCGACGCTACATCGGCGATAGTTCATCGACTACCAGACGTTAATCGACACTAGTCGACGCGGAAGACGGAATTAAGAGGGTATACCAGGCCCCCATGTTTGCTACCGAAGTACTGGGGGTCGACGTAAATGGGGGGTGAAAAAAAGAGCCCTCAAGGGGCCATGTTCTTCACCCAACATGTAAGTCACCCCCCAAACGCACCCACCCGAGATCCTGTAGAAGGCAGAAAATCCACCCCGATAATAAGCATCCCGACAAGCGAAGCCGTTGAGTAAACGCACCCAAGAAAGGAATCGAACAGGACAAGGCTGTACAGTAAATGCCCGCGGCCGTTTTGTAAACGCCAATTGTCCGGGTCTGGGTGGTTTTTCCGCCTTTGAATCCCTTTGAGAAAAGAGCCCTCCAGGGTCCCTGTTCTCCACCCCGCATGCAAGTCACCCCCCAAAACCACCCACCCGAGATCCTGGGGCCCTGGATGGGCGTGCGCCCAAAACAGGTGCGTGGTCACAGTTGTGGTCGCCCAGCCACCACGAACCTCTGGCCCCTCCGCCGTCTCTGTGGCACTCTTGCTAGCGGGCCCCGCCTCCGCATCGTGCTCGATGGAGTTCGCTTTCGCAGTCCCTGCCTCCTCCTCTTCATGTTCCTCCTCCTCCTCCTCCTCCTCCTCAGTGGCACTCTCTGTGGCAGCCCACGCTCCTCCCTCCTCCTCCTCCTCCTCCTCCTCCTCCTCATCATCATCATCATCGGTGAAGTGGTTGCGAGCCTCTGCCCGGTCAGCGACATCCTCCTCATCCTCGGTGCCGTTAAACTCAGTTGCCAGCCAAGTCGTGGCGTTCTCCTTGGCAGCCTCTAGCTTGGTAGCGTTCTCGGTAACCGTCTCCTCGGTGGCGTTCTCTCCCGCAACCTCCCCCTTCTCCGCGGTGGCATTCTCTTTGGCAGCCCCTGTCCCTTCTTCCTCCTCCTCCTCCTCCTCCTCTTCCTCCTCCTGCTGCTCCTCCTCATCGGTGGCAGTCTCAGTAGCAGCCTCTGTCTCAGCAAGATCCTGCTCCTCCTCCTCCTCCGTGGCACTATCCTCAGCTGTCAGAGGCACGTCCACCTTTTCCTCCTTTGCCAGCTCATGGGAGTTCTCTTCGACAATCTCCACCTCGGTGGAATTATTGGTAGGACCCTTCTCGGTGGTATTCTCCTCGGCAGCCTCCCCAGCATGCTTGGTGGCATTCTCTTTGGCAACCCGTTGCTCTGTTTCCTCCGCCTCCTCTTCCTCTTCATCCCCCTCCTCATCCTCATCCTCTTCCTCCTCGGTGGTATTCTCTGTGACAGCGTAGGCCTCATCAACATTATCCTCCTCCTCCTCATCCACGGTGTCATTCTCTTTGGCAGCCCCTGTCTCCTCCTCTTCTTCATCCTCGGTGGCATCCTCGGTTTTCAAGGTCAGCTTCTTGATCAACTTAGTGTTGATATCCTCCACCTCGGTAGCATTCTCGGTGGCATCCTGCTCGGTGGCATTCTCTTCGGAACCCTCCCCAGCCAGCTCGGTGGCATTCTCTGTGGCAGCCCGTTCCGCTTCTTCATCCTCCTCCTCTTCTTCCTCTTCATCCTCCTGCTCTTCCACATCGTCTTTCAACTCGGTGGTATTCTCTGTGACGGCGTAGGCCTCATCAACATCCTCCTCATCATTCACGGTGCCATTCTCTTTGGCAGCCCCTGGCTCCTCCTCTTCCTCTTCGTCGGTGGCATCCTCGGTTTTCAAGGTCAGCTCCTTGATCAGCTTATCATTGATATCCTCCACCTCGGCGGCATTCTCGGTAGCGTCCTCCTCGGTGGCATTATCTTCAGCAACCTCCCCAGCCTTATTGGTGGCGTTCTCTTTGGCAACCCGTTTCTCTCCTTCCTCCTCCTCATCTTCCTCTCCATCCTCCTGCTCATCCTCATCCTCGTCCTCCTCGGTGGTTTTCTCTGTGACAGCGTAGGCCTTATCAACATCCTCCTCACCCACGGTGTCATTCTCTTTGGCAGCCCCTGTCTCCTCCTCTTCCTCTTCCTCGGCGGCATCCTCGGTCTTCAAGGTCAGCTTCTTGATCAGCTTATCATTGATGTCTCCCACCGCGGTGGCATTTTCGTCTGCCGTCGCCTCAGTGGTATTCCAGTCGCCAGCCTCAACCTCCACAGCTTGAGGAGGGAAAAACTCGTTGGTGGCGTTCTCGTCTGCAGAAGCCTCGGTGGCGTTATTTTGACGCATTCCCCCTGAGCCTGTCCGAAACCTCTGACATCGAGGTGCTTCACGACTTTGACCCCCGAGCTCTCGATACCATCCCTACGACCGCAGTCTCGCCAGTGGCAGTATGTCATGATCCCCGTACCCGAGAAAGCCCCCCCCCGAGGCAAACAATGCAAACCATCAGTTGGAGTTAGGTTGCTTCGAAAGATCCCCACCAAGGAGCTTCAAAAAGTCAAGATGCATGTTCTTAGTGTAGGTGTTTGGTGAATGCTCCTGATATAGGCTATTGTGTGCTGAGCCTGTTCATGGTGTAGGGCATCGGTCTATGTTACTGGCGTCGGCTATTTACCAGCATTTCTGGTATCTGATGGTGATGATTGCTTGCGAAGTATGATGCTGATGTTGGTCGTGGGCGTCTGCAATTGACGTACACTCGTTACTTGTACATGCAGTGGGTCTCAGTATGACATGTATACTATCCAAAGGCGTGTCGCTGCTGTTGCTGCTGCATGTTTTAGACGCAGATTGTCGGTGTACGCAGACGGTGTACAGTACTAGCCGATGCCTACGATACCTTTTCTTGACACATGTGCTGTGTGCATGATCTTGGTGTGTGTGCATATGATGCATTACTGTTCTTGGTGTCAAATGTTGATGTGAGTTGTCCGTGTATGGTCGTAATGAGTGGTCTAAGGATAAAGATGTAGGTGGTTAGTGAATCTCTTCGGTGACGGTTCGCAATGCCTGTTTGTGTCACACCTTCTGGGTTAAGGTTAGAAAAGTATTGTTGCGATGACGGCTGTAATGAAATATGTTCTCGATGTAAGATAGCGATGCCAAATCTTAGTATATGTCCTCCCGTCTGGTCTAGATGCCGATGGACGGCGTGACGTCGTGACGCTGTGGTGCGTCCCTGGTGAGGTTGTCTGTCAAGTTCGCTTGTTCCTGATGCTTCTCAGCTATGCCGTCACTGGGCTCTCGGCGATCTGTGGGCCCTGACGGCCGCGGTACGCGGGGCGGGCGAAGCGCGACGCACAGGGACCACCCAGACTCTTGGGGCCTGTCGGCCGCGCCAATCGTGCAGCGCGGGCGAGGCGGAGAGGAAGAGGGAGGAGGAGGAGGAGGAGGAGGAGGAGGAGGAGGAGGAGGAGGAGGAGGGAGGAGAGAGGAGGAGAAGAAGGCGAGGAGGAGGAGGAAGGAGGAGGAGGAGGGGAGGAGGAGGAAGAGGAGGAGGAGGAGGCGGAGGAGGAGGAAGAGGAGGAGGAGAAGAGGAGAAGAAGAGGGAGGAGGAAGAGGGAGGAGGAGGAGGAGGAGGAGGAGGAGGAGGAGGAGGAGGACAACTGGCTGTCGCGTTTTGTTCGCGACGCCAGGAGGTCTGGGGAGCCCGTGCCCCTCCCTTTCTCGGCGGGGCGTAGGAGAGGGTGGCGCCAGGGGGGCGGCCCTCCAGAGGGAGGAGAAGGCGGGGAGGCCTCTGCGATGGCAGAGGGCTTCTTCGAAGCCTATCCAATTTTGGAGAAGCTTCCTTAGAAGCCGCCCGGTGCTTCTAATTAAAGACGCCCCTGCCTTCGAAGGAGGCCCCCTTCCTCTCAGAAGGGCGCCCCTCTGGCGCCACCTCCCTGTGCGCGCCGCCGACCTCCTCCGCCCCTGACGCCTCCTCGCTCCCCGCGCCCGGATGCACCTCGAGGGGCGCCTTCTGGGCCGGCGGCTCCTCGTTGATCGGCACGTCTGGCTCCTCCTCCTCCTCCTCCTCCTCCTCGTCCGCGTCGTCCACCTGCGGGGGTGGAGGCGGCGGCGGCAGACTGACCTCGTCGACCGGCACCACCCCCTCCTCGACGCCACCGTCCGTGCCTGGCCGCAGCGGAGGCATCCGCGTCGTGCCCGGCCCACCGACTGGCTCGTCGACCGCCGACTCGCCGACCTCGTCGACCTCCCTGCCTGCGCCTGCCTGCGGAGGCGGCCCCTCGCGCGGCTCGTCGGCTGGCTCGCCGTCGCGCGTCGCCGACCCGTCCGCCCACTCCTGCACGAACCGGTCCACGTCGTCGACCAGCACCTCTGGCTCCTCGGCCTCCCCGCCCGCGCCCAGCTGCGTGGGCGGCGGCTTCGTCGTCGGCGGCGGCTCGCTCGAGCCGCTGGCCGGCACCTCTGGCTCGTCGGCCTCCCCGTCGGCGTCCACCGGCATGGGCGGCCCGAGGCTCCGCGGCTCGCCGGCGGACCCGTCCACCGCCGCCCCGCTGACCTCGTCGAGCGGCGGCAGGGGCGGCACGAAGCTCCGCGGCTCGTCGACCGGCTCGTCGACCGCCGACCCGCCGACCTCGTCGAGCGGCGCCTCCGGCTCCTCGACATCCCTGCCCGCGCCTGCCTGCGGGAGCGGCCCCTCGCGCGGCTCGTCGGCCGGCTCGTCGTCGCGCGTCGCCGACCCGTCCGCCCACTGCTCCAGCAGCCGGTCGACCTCGGCCTGCCCCTCGGGCGCCTCGCCCGTGCCTGCTTGCACAAAGGAAACTGCACTGCACGTCGTTCATTTCTAATCGTGCTCGTTTCCAATTGTGCTCGTTTCCAATTGTTCCTGGCCCCCGAGTGGCCAGGAAGAGGCCCAGGATAGAACAACTAGAAATGTGAGGATCTTGGCCCCCCAAAAAATCAAAGAATTCTCGAAGAATTAGAAATGAACTATGTGTACCCAGACGCACAACACGCAACCCAGGGCGTGTTGGCACGCGGCTCGACACGTAGATTGGGGACGTGTGCCTGGCTGCATACGCACGCTAGAGTGTAGGCCCATGTGAACGACGATCGCAAGCGGGTCTTACGCGAGATGGCGTGGCGACCTTACGCCGCAGCTGACGCGGGCCGCCAGCGCGGCACGCCACACTGGAGACGAGGGCGCTCACGCGCGAGCTTATGCGGGCAACTTTCGCGCGAATGTCGGCGAAGACGACCCCGTTTTGTTGCAGCGCTCACGTGTTGAACCGACACGTAACGTCTCGACTTGATACGCTTGGACACGGCGCGCAATGCGTTTCAACGCAGGCTTCCCAGGGCAATCAAGGAGGGAAAGGTCTCTGCGGTAACCGGGTCCTCCTCCTCCTCCTCCTCCTCCTCCTCCTCCTCCTCCTCCTCCTCTCCTCCTCCTCCACTCCTTTTCCTTATGAATAGCTTCTCCCTGTCGCACCCCGAGGCCAGTTTTCAGGGCGGGCCGGGCGTTTCGCCTGACAATTCCTCACCACTTGTGACCCTAAAGCTTAAACATTAGCAACAGCTTCACAAATGGAGGGCGGGTCCTTTTCGGAATGTGGCTCTCGCCTTAGCGCCGCGCACACTCGTTCTGAAACATTGCAAGCGCTGCACGGATTGAGGGCGGGCCGTCTTCAAATGTGGCCCTCGTCTCAGCGCCGCGCACATTCGTTGTTTAAAATCTGCAAGGGCTCCACGGATTGAGGATGAATCGGTTTTGAAATGTGGTCCTCGCCTTAGCGCCGTGCACATTCGTTTAAACAACTTGCAAGAGCTTCACGGATTAAGGGCGGGTCGTTTTCAAAATGCGACTCTCGCCTTAGCGCCGCGCACATTCGTTCTTACACATTGCAAGGGCTTCACGGATTTCCATGATCGACGTACCGGGAGTCATGTTGGAAGGACTCACGACTATTGGGGTGCAGCAGTTACGATGACTCGCGGTAATGAAGTCCCAGGAATGGCGCTCAGGCAAGACTCAGGGTTGTCAATACGCAAAAATCAAGTTAATCCGTGGCGTCGAACTCCCGAGAGCAATGTTCTGGCATGCTTCCCCTGTGGAAATGAACCGTTGTAGGGGCCTATGAAAAGGGAGATTGGGGGAGGGCGTATTCCAACATCGTTGGTGACTCTTGGGTTTACACTGAACCTCCTCCTCCTCCTCCGCCTCCTCCTCCTCCTCCTCCCCCTCTTCCTCCTCCTCCGCGCCCTCCTCCTCCTTTTCCTCCCTCAAAATCGGCGACCCATCCCGAGCCGAGCCGCTTCTTGACGGCCCCGTGGGGCCTGGGACCCCCCCCCCCGGCAAATGCCAAAAACGGCGAGCCTGGCTGCACGGGCGGCATGCGCGGCTGGTCGACCGGCTCGCCTGCCACTTCTCGCTCTTGCCCCCGCTCCTCCACCCGAGCGACGATCAAAAACGAGTCTTGCGCGAGGTGACGTAGCGACCTTACGCGGCGGCCCATGTGAACGACGATCACAAACGGGTCTTACGCGAGATGGCATGGCGACCTTACGCCGCAGCTGACGCGGGCCGCCCGCGCGGCACGCCACACTGGAGACGAGGGCGCACACGCGCGACCTTACGCGGCCAGCTTACGCGCCAATGTCGGCGCAGACGCCCCCGTTTAACAAAGAGGAAAAAACCTCATACACATAAACTTTTGGCGCTCCGCGCGGATTCCTAGGATTCGCGCTGGACCCCCCTCCCTGGCGCGCGGAGCTCGCCAGGGGCGGCGCCGGAGGCGCCGCCAGGGAACCCAGGCGCGGATCCAAGAAATCAGCGCAGAGCGCCAAAAGCTTGTTTATGTGATTTTTCTTCTTTGAGCTTACGCGCGACCTTACGCGGCCAGCTTACGCGCCAATGTCGGCGCAGGCGCCCCCGTTTAGGAGAAGGAGGAGTGCACGTACCCAAAGAGGAAGAGACGAGGGCAAGCGGACAAGAGGCGAGACGAGGGCAAGAAGTCCGTCCGCTCCTGACCGTCAACCGCGCGTCTACTTCCAGAGCGTTGCTTTGGCAGCGCTCAACCCTTCAGCTATCGAAGCTGGGGTCGGCGAGGCGTGCTTCATTTTGTGGGAGCAGTGAAAGGAGAGCACAATCCGCTGATTCGACCGCGACGTCGAGATCTCGTTCGCGGGCTCAGACGGATAGGCTGCGTCGGGGCCATCGCCCCAGGATGCAAGCGCGCTGTGGAGGTTGGGCGAGGCGGGGGAGCAGGGGAGGCCCAGGAGGACCGAGCGGGCGAGGTAAGGAGGGACTGAATCGGGCGCTGCTGGGCACCCTAGCACACAAGAGTTCAGCAGGCGAACGTGCATGCTGTGGGTCTCTGTCTGTCCACCTGCGAGGGTCTTATAAACCATCGAGCGCCAGTTCGGGCGGACAGGGCGCATGGCATTCGTGAGAGCAGCGCAGCGCGACTCCAGCTCTGGGGACGGGGGCGGCTGAGAGAAGCCCCAGGCTGCGATGCACTTCACCGGCATGACTGTGAGGGGCGATGAGAAAGAGGCCCGCAGCAGCGCGGGCGCGACCGCGCGCTGCGCCTTGGGGCGGCGCGGTGGCTCAGCACTCGGGGCCTCGTGAAATTCGCTGGCAGCCGCGCGGTTCGCCGCGGCCGCGGCAGCTGCAGGCAACGGCACAGCAATGAAGAAAAGCTCCCATTCCCCACGGGGCATGAACGTGGTAGAGTGAACGGCGGCGGTGACGACTGAGATCTGAGCTGAGCATGGGACAAGAGGCGGGCTCCATTCCGCCATGGCACTGAGATCTACTTTGCGAGGTGCGTCAGGCATGGGGATTAGGCAATTTGGGGACAATGCGATGTACACTGCGGGCGTGCTTCTGACTGAGCGGAGCGGACTGCAAGAAATAGCTTAGCGTTGAAACGACTGATGCATTGCGGAGGCGGACGGCGGCAACACTGCCACCCTGCACGAGCTGAAAAGTATTCGCCCAAAGCGGGGCGACGACCCGCTGGCGGGGCTTCATGGGGAGAGGCACAGGCCCCTGCGCGGCGGCAAAGGGCTCACTGTCAGCGCGCAGCGTGTCGAATGAGAGCGCGAGGAGGCCAGCGTCGACGGCGCAGCCGCCCATGGAGCGCTTGTCATAGTCACGCATGCCGTCGTAGGTCATGATGCGCGAGGCGGCGCGGCGAGCGTGAAGGACCATGGCGAACACCCAAGCCGAGCCGCTCACCGGGCAGCCCAGGGCCGGACCAAGTTCGCACGGGAGCATGAAGGGATGAACGCCATCATCATTGAGGATGCTGTTGGGAGCGAGGTACCGCTGGCGAGAGATGCACATCGGGCCCTCAAGGATGCCGAAGTACCCCAGCGACGCGAGGAGCCAGCCGCAGCTGAGCGACAGGGACACATCCGCGCGGTCGAAGCTGTTGAAGACGGGCTTGTGCTTGTCGGCCTCAAATTGAACTCCAGCTCGATGCATCTCGGTGCCGAGGTTGATGATGTGGCGCATCTCGGCGGCGGGGTTGATGATGTGCTTGGTGAGGATGCAGCCCACTACCAAGCCCTGCTGCATGTAATACGTCCGCTCTGCCACAGCGGATTTGATGAGGATGATGGTTTCGCCTGCGATGGCAATGATATCTGTGTACTTGAGGGGCGGCGGGCGAGTGCCCCCAGGGCGGCGGTCCGTGGTGGGCACGCCTATGAGGTTGACGCCCTTTGGCACGATCGCGAAGGCATGGTCGTTCAGGACGAGGGTGGAGACAGGGTTGAAGCAGAGGTGCGAGGCAAGGTCCTCCAGCGGGCCAATGGGCACGCACACGGCGAGCCAGGCGCGGCACGGCAAGAGGTCGAACCCAGACGCAGGCGGGGACGCGTGTGGCAGAACGCCTCTGATGTGCGACTTGACGAGCGCGTCGCCGTCACTGATGGGATGGCTGAGCGAGAGCTCGACACTGTACTGTTGGACCTTGGAGGCGACGGCGCGCTTGCGCTTGAGGTCGGGGGTCCAAGAGGGCGAGGAGAGCAACGACCAACGCGCTGCTCTCTCTGGCTACTCCTGGGCGGCCCTCGGGGTCGGTGGTTTTGATTCCCTGGGCGACCAGGCGGCGCTTCCAGGTGTCCCAGGGAAGGGCCCTGCGCAGGGAAGATCGGTTGCCCTTCCTGAGCCTCTTGGGATCGGCGGCCCCTAAGGAGCCTCGCGGCAGCTGAGCTGCACGGTGTGCCAGAGAGCGCTGCCGAGCCTCGAAGTCGCGGCGCGGCGCGGCAGACTGCACGGCGAACTCGGCGGAATTCGCGAGCACGATTAGCCCGATGTCGATGTTGAGGAACTCGGCGTCAAGCTCGGAGGTGGGATGTAAACGACGTGCTGGGCGAGCGCCCTGGCGCCAGCCCGCCCAACGGTGGCCAAACGCGCCACGCGGCCTCCGCTGTGTCCGCGAAGAGCGCCTGGAACGACGTGAGGATGGCGCCGCGCTCAAGGTCGCGGAAGGCGGCAAGCTCGAACGCCTGCTCGTTCCACCCCAGGATGGCGGGGTCGGCTTGTCCCTTAACGTCGAGGCGCGCGACGGGCATGGCGTTGCAATGGATCTCGCCCTTTGCTCGATGAGCTCTCCATGACTTTCGAGGGTGTCGATGTTGAAGGAGCTGGAAGAGTTTCTTGCACTGGATCTCGGTGTGAATCTGCTCAGGCGACTTGTCAGGGTTGAGGTAGATGTCCATTGGCGTGCCCGAGGTGTCGACGGAGGTGAAGCGCTTCCATCTGCCTCCAGCGTCGCGTAGGGCTCGGGTGAGCGCCAGTGCGCGAGGGATGGCCACGTCGCGCCCGCCCTTGACTTGTAGCACGAATCTGCGCGCGGGTTCGTCTCCATGAACTTCGGCGGCGTCGGAGCCCAGGTTGGCGGAGGCGATCCACTCCTGTAGGTCGTTGAGGAGCGCGTCGGGAGCGATGAGCCGCTGTGCCCCGATGGTGCAGATCGTGGGGTCGATCTCGCGGTCCCAGTCGGCGAGCTTCGTAAGGTCCGTGATCGGCGCCTGGGCCTCGGCGAGCGCGAGGGCCTCTCGCATCTGGTCGATCTGCATCCATATCTTCTTATGTTCCTCTGCTTGACGGTCTTGTTCTCTACGAGTGCGTGCGACGACGTCATGAAGGGTGTCGACTCGTCGTTCTGTAGCTTGGACTTGCTGTGCAAGAAGCTGGCGAAAGCTTCCGCGTGAATCATTGAGTAGGACGTTGGCTTGAGCTTGGAATGTGCTGGCGGCATGTGCGACTTGAGCTTGCATGAGATCTTGAAGAGCTTTGTCTAGCTCGGGGCCCAGACCTGGGAGGCGAACGGGGTCGCCTGGCGTAGCGGTATCGGAATCGGCGGCGGCTCCGACGGCGGCAGTTCCTCCAGCGGCTGCTGCGCCTCCAGCACGCCATGGGTCAGCAGCAGCGAGAGGGTCGTGGCGTAGAGCTTCACCTTGGAGTTGCGGCGGCGGCGCGGATCCTTCACCAGCTTGAAATTGGCGAGCGTTAGCGGTGACGGCAGTGCGGGCAGAGTGAGCAGCTTCTTCTTCTTCTCCAGTGTCCATGGCGAAGTGGGGCGGCTGATGGTGTGCGCGAGCTGCGGATCGGCAAGAGCGAGCGGCATGCCCCGATGCTCGCCCTGAGCGTGGCGCTGCCTGTGTAGCGAGGCCGGCGTCGACGAGCACGGCCATGGCTGCGCGCTCTGAAGCTGCTCGACCATTTTTATCAGCACGGTTTGGGGGAGCCCGGGCAGTACGATCTTGGTCGAGTCTTTCGCGTTCTCGACGGCGTTCTTTCCTTCTTCGGCTAGCAGATGGGGCACTTCGGGAGGTCGAGCGTTCTTCGCTGGAAGAAGACATGGTTGAGACTGCGGGTTGTCGTCGGACTGATTGCTGTTCTGCTTCAGGATGTTGTTGTCGAGAGCGCCAGACTCCAGGGCCTTCGCGGAGCCACAACGTGGCAGATGCTGCAGCTGGGGAACGAGCAGGTCGACGTCCAGCGGGTTATGGAGAGGAACGACGGCGACGTCAGAGAGGCCGATGTCCAGCTGGTGCTCGGCGACGGGGGACGACGCGCACGACAGCGCGATATGGATGGCAGCCTGCAATGCCAGCACAAAGAGCAGGAGTGGGCGGCCGCACGCCCCTGATTGTAGCGGCAAAGCGCTTAGGTGCCAGCTCACCCCTGGTGGTGGCTGGAAACAGTTGGGGTCGGGCCTCGGCTCAGAGGTCTCCATGCGGCCGCAGCGCGACATGGTGACTTGAGCCAAAATGGCTACGGATTCAGGAGAAGGAGGAGGAGGAGGAGGAGGAGGAGGAGGAGGAGGGAGGAGGAGGAGGAGAGGAGGAGAGAGGAGGGAGGAGGAGGAGGTAACTGCGTCGCTCACCTGCCCATCGACATCGTTGACCGGCACCTCCGGCTCCTCGACCTTCCCGGCCTCTGTCCGCGTCGCCTCGCGCGATCCGTTGACGGGCACCTCCAGCTCCTCGGCCTCGCCCCCAGGGGCGCGGGCCACGGCAGTGGGCGAGCCGCCCTTCGGGGTGCCCTCCGCCTCCTGCAGTTGTAGCCAAAAAGCGTGTCTGCCCACGTTGGACATAAATTGACGATTGGCGGGTTCTGGAACCCCTGAACTCAAAAACGTTTTCGTCTTTTCGGGGCGCATATTTTACTTCCGCCGCCTTCCATCAGCCTTCCGCCGGCGGAGGCGGCCTCGTTTTGCTTCCGCCGACCTTCCGCCGTTGAAGAGATGACAAGTCCTTCAATCCTCGAAGGCAGGGCCCTTTGTGGAACGCCCTAATTCTCTGAGCGTTCACTTTGAGCCACGTCGACATGGCAGAGCGGGGGTGCAGAGCGGGGGGGGAGGCCAGGAAGGGGCACGCCACGAGTTGACCAAAGCCCTGCCCCGATGTGCAGCCGCCGCGAGCGCCGCGGCGACCTCCAAAACCGACCTGGAGGTCTGGTCCGGGGCCGGACGTCACGCAGCGATCCTGGCCGCCCGCCGGGGCGACCTGCACAGGCTGGCCGCTCTTCGTGGTGACCTCCGAGGGCGTCGAGGGAGGGGGCCTCGCAAATCATGGCCCGAGCCACGTGCGCGGCCCAGGGGGGGCCAGGCGACGCACCGAAACAAGAAGAAGGACCGTGAAATCTGGGGAGGTACCATGGCCCCGGTCAGGAGATCCACCCCTCACTACAGTCCACCCCAGGCCAAAACACCCCAAATCATAAGATCACCGAGGTTACCCTTCCGTTGCGTCACCGAGGGTACCCTCCCTCAGAATGCACAAGGAAGAACATCAGGGTACCCTCCCCAAACCGATCTCTATCTGACACCTCAGTCCGACTGAAATCACCACTGGCAGGGCCGTTTCTCACCATTTTGGAAAAAGCATCTCTTGAACATGGAAAGGGTAGAGCAACGGCGACCAGAGACGGCAAAAAAAGCGGCTCCAGAACTGGAGCCGAAACCGGAAAAAAAACGGCGACGGAGCCGGCAAACAGACGGCGACGGAACCGGTAAAAAAAGCGGCAAACGGAACCGGTAAAAAAACGGCCCTGTCGTTTCCAGGGCCCACTGAAGTCACCACCTCCCTCTGTCCAGACCCCCGACGTCGTGATTCTTAAACAACATCAACTGTCGATCCCCAAAAACCTGGACCCTTTCCCCGGGACCGGTTTTTCATCCTGAGTCGTTTCTCGACGGTCCCAGGGCCCGGCGAGGGCCCCCCGAGGCCGAAACTAGCGAAAAACCTTCCGTCGTGTTTTTTTCGCGAGGCGGGGGGGGTCTGGGCTGGATGCTCCTGGGGCCTCTGAGGACAGGAGTGTAGGAGTAGGAGGAGGAGGAGGAGGAGGAGGAGGAGGAGGAGGAGGAGGAGGAGGAGGAGGGACGAGGACGAGGACGAGGACGAGGAGGAGGAGGAGGAGGAGGAGGAGGGACGAGGACGAGGAGGAGGAGGAGGAAGAGGAGGAGGAGGAGAAGTCGGAGGAGGAGTCGGAGGAGGAGGAGGAGAAGAAGGAAAACGAGGAGAACGAGGAGAACGAGGAGCAGGAGGAGGCAGAGCCCGAGACCTCTATGGACAGGTTGAGCGTGGCCCTCGTGCCGCCGGAGCCCCCGACGCTGAGGCTGACGTTGTACGGGTCCGATGCGCCGAGGCCCTGCGCCTGGCGAGCACCACAAGGGCCCCGGGCGGCTCTCGCCATCGCTCGCCCGGGCGGCCACTCCCCGGGCGGGCAGGTCTTCGGCCTCGTGCGCTGACCCTTTTGCCGCGAGGTGGCCCCAAGGTGCTCCTCGAAGGCTCAAGCTCATCCTCCGCCTCCTCCTCCTCCGCCTCCTCCTGTTCCTCCTCTGCCTCCTCCTCCTCCTCCGCCTCCGCCTCCTCCTCATACCTGAGCAAGGTGCTCCTCGAAGGCCCCAAGGTGCTCCTCGAAGGCTTAACCTCCTCCTCCTCCTCCTCCTCCTCCGCCGCCGCCTCCTCCGCCGCCGCCGCCTCCGCCTCCGCCTCCGCCTCCGCCTCCGCCTCCGCCTCCGCCTCCGCCTCCTCCTCCTCCTCCTCCTCGTCCTCCTCCTCCTCCTGCTCCTCCTCCTCCGCCTCTCTTTTTACGTTAGACAAACCTGAGCAAGAAAGCTGGCCTCCTCTTCCTCCTCGTCGCCGAGACGCAGTGCCCACGTCCGAGCGATGCCAGCGCAAGAGAATGCAGTCGTCGTTCTGCTATACGGGCCGCTGGGTAAGGAACGGACGGGCCTCTGCGGCCACGGCGGGCCTCGGCACCCCGATCCCGGGAGGGGCTCACAGGCTGGAGCCCCTCCCGACCCCGAAGTGGTGTCCTGACGTCCCGAGTGCCAGCATGGATCCACGACCCAGGTCTCGGGAGGGGCCCAGAAGCTGGAGCCCCTCCCGACCCCGAAGCGATCCTTCTGCCGGGGCCTCGACTGCAGGCAGAAGCCCTCGGAGGTCCGGGCGCAGCTCCTGCATCGGCGCTGGGCCCCCGCGGGCGGGGGCGCCCAGCGCCGGCCCGGGAGATCCGCGCGGGCCTTCGAAAGCTGCTGCTTGCGCACCCTAGAAGTGGGGAAATCCCCGACGAGGTCGTCAAAAAAATGACGAGGCCGAGCCTGCATTTTGACGAGGCCTCCCGCTGCAGACATCCCACGAAACTCCTACTCGTCAAAATCCGAGGCGCGGTCGTCAAAAAAAAATGGCGAACCCGAGTCCTGGCAAACCCGGGTCTTACGTTCCCCCGATAAAGGGGCCCAGGGGCCCAGGGACACACAAAGAAACAGACACCAGCCCCAGGATTCCTGCACACTTTCCCATATCTGCTGGGTCTTCGTCTCTCCCCCCACACACAAGCTTCCCAGGTGTCCCCATATTCTCCGGGGAGTCGACGATGAATCGTGTCTGTGCGCTTCTTTCCCTCCTGACTCGCTCCCCTTCTCGGAGGCGAGCCCGAAGACCCGAATTTCGGGTTGGGGGGGGTACGGGTTCCAGATGCGTTTTTTTTCAAAGTTTCCCCGACCCCCCCTGACTGGAAATGGAAGGCAAATTGAGGCCTTCGGGTTGGGCTGGTGTGGTTTGGCGGGTGGTGAATAAGGATGTGCGCTGCTCCCTTCGGGTTTCGGGGGCGGCCAAGAGGGGGGCGACCAAGAGAAGGGGGGCGCAAATCGTGGCCGGCGGCACGTGCGCGGCCCAGGGGGAGGGGTTGGGGACGTATTGAAACAAGAGGAGGCGCCATGAGACCTGTGGAAGTACCGTCGCCCCCGCCAGGATATCCCCTTCCCCCTTGTCACCGACCCCTCTGATTACCTACCAGACCACCCCAACCCAACCCGAAGACCCGAACTTGACCCGAATTTGGGGTGGGGGGGGACGGGCCGAATGTGCTTTTCCAAGGTTCCCCGACCCCCCCCCACTGGAGGTGGAGGGCAGATTGATGCCTTCGAGTTGGGTTGGGGTGGCTTGGTGGGTGGTGACCCTCTTGGCCGCCCCCGAGGGCTGCGCAGGGCACATCTCCAGCCTGGGGGGAGGAGACGGAAGAGGAGGAGGAGGAGGAGGAGGAGGAGGAGGAGGAGGAGGTTGGAGCGTCTGGGGGGGAGGAGGGTACTGAGGGTACTGACTATGCGGGCGCCACAGGGCGCCCCTGACCGCACGGTCGCGAATTAATCCTCGACGATTAATTCAGGCCCCTCAGGAGCTCTCTGATGGGACCTCTCCCACCGTATCAGCTCATCAGGGGAGGAGAACCCATGCAACTTGGCGACATTGATGGCATCTAGGTAAGGAAGGCACAGCAGTCGTCTCAACTGCTTCACCTCCCCAGATGCGCGGGGCATCACGCTCCCCACCGCCTCCTGGGGCTCGCCCAACCCTTCATTACCTGCAGCTTCGCTGTGCGAAGCAGCACCAGCAGGAGCAGGGTCAGGCTCAAGGAGAGGACCCCAAACAGCGCGCATCTGAAGAGTCGGCCCGTGGGCTGCCCCAACACGAGCATTCCCCAGAGTGTGCCCTTGGAACAGACCTCGACGGAGCTTGGACCTCTGGATCTTGAGCCCTGGATGACCAGCTCCCTTACACTCTCCCTGCAGCCCGCGAGCGCTGGAATGCGCTGAGGCGCCGCAGATCTTACAAAATAGTATCGGCGACAGTTCCTGGCCTTGATCAGATGTGACGTTGGCCTGCACAACACTGTGCCCTCGGAAAACCCAAGGAACACCAGTGGCAGCAACAAAGCCAGCGTCAACACCCTGGGGTTCTTCGGTGCCAGCAGGAGAGGAGGCGAGGCTCGGAGCAGGGGGAGGACCAGTCTCAACCCCCTCGGCCAAGGACCAGTCCCCGAACGGCGCTTTACCTTCCTCCAGACAGGCACGAATTAGATACTGGGGCAAGTCTTCATCTAAAACGATGTCCCCTGTTCCTGAAAGCTCAACAGAATCAGGCTGCTCTAGCTCACCGAAAAAATCCTGACATCTACTCTGCGAACGAACGATATCCGAGGCAATCCTCTCACACCCCGAGACAAAGTCCAGATGGTCTCTAGGCACATTCCAAAGTTTGGCTCCCGCCTTGGCCCACTTGTCGGCCATAGCGTTGCCCTTAATGAGCCACGCATCATGATCAGACCTAGCTTCCCTCCAGCTCCTGTGAACTGCTACCTTGACAATGGAAGCCTTCTTACCTAGATCGGCCCACCAGGCCCTCCACATGTGCGGAGGCGGAGGCGGAGGCGGAGGAGGAGGCGGAGGCGGAGGCGGAGGCGGAGACGGAGGAGGAGGAGGAGGAGGAGGAGGAGGAGGAGGAGGAGGGAGGAGGAGGAGGAGGAGGGGAGGGGAGGAGAGGAGGAGGAGGGAGGAGGAGGAGGAGGAGAGGAGGAGGAGGAGGAGAGGAGGAGGAGGGAGGAGGAGGAGGAGGGGGAGGAGGAAGGAGGAGGCGGAGGAGGAGGAGGAGGAGGAGGAGGGGGAGGAGGAGGAGGAGGGGCTGGGGGCCGAGGACGCCACAGCCCGGTGGGGAGCGGCCGGGCGACCCCGGCCCCGCGCGCGCCGCCGCCCTATGCGGGCCTGGGCCGCCCGCCGCGACGGCTGCCCCCGGCGGCCCAGCAAGCGCCCGGCGCCGTCGACGGCCAGCACCTCCGGGAGAAGAGAAAGCGGCATACCCAGAGATCCAACGCATTGAAACAATCAAGACGGAGGTTTTTCACAATTGTCGGCCTCAAGGGGCCCTCGCCGGGCCCCGGGACCGTCAAAAAACGATCAGGATGAAAAACCGGTCCCGGGGAACGGGTCGAGACCTCCGGGGGCCCCGTATTGAAAGAAATCACGACGTCGTGGGTCTGAGTACATAGGGGAACGAAGAATGGCATAAACATAAAACCTCGGAAATCCGCGTGGATTTCTCGGATCCCCGCTGGACCTCCCTGGCGCCGGAGCACCTGGCGCGCTCCGCGCGCCAGGGAGGGGGGTCCAGCGCCGATCCGAGAAATCCGCGCGGACCTCCGAGTTTTTATGTTTATGCCATTTTTCGTCCCCCTAATACAGCGGAGGCCAGTTCACAGGAAACCTTCCACAAGAAACCCAACCCTGAGACCCCAGGGACGTCCGTTGATTTTTTGGTGTGCCAACGTCGCGCTCTCCACAGCAACACCATCGAAACCCAAGAAACCCAGGGCACCCTGGAGGCAAGCAGGGTGTTTCTTGGCCTTGGCATGGGTCCCCACTATAAATTTCGACGGTCCGCGCGGAGTTCTTGGATCTGCGCTAGACCCCCCCCTCCCTGGCGCGCGGAAGCGCGCCAGGGGCGGCGCCGGAGGCGCCGCCGCGGGGGCGCAGCGCGGATCCAAGAAATCCGCGCGGAGCGCCAAAAGTGGCGGCCTGGGACTTCTGGTCTCGCGACCCCCAACACTGCAATTTCTCGCTCGGATCCGACCCTGCCCTGGCTCCCCGCTCTGAGATCCTGCGAAGGAGCCCTCAGGGCCCCGCCCGGGAGCCCTCGGGGACCCCATCGGCCGCCTGGGGCCGCCATACAAACCTGGGGCCGTGGTCTGCCCCCCCCCCCGTCGAACCCCGCGAGGCCCTCGGACACCCGCGTCCCCCGTCGTTCCAGACCCAGCGAGCGGACTTTCCTAACAGGGCGAGCGGACGCCCCCGGTCGACCGGCGGCCAGATCGCCCACTTGGGGTGGGCTCCACGACGGCCCCATGCCCGCGGAGGCCCGGCAGGCCGCTCGCCCCGTCGCCTCATGCTCCTCCTCCTCCTCCTCCTCCTCCTCCTCCTCCTCCTCTCCTCCTCCTCATCCTCCTCCCTCCTCCTCCTCCCTCCTGCTCCTCCTCCTCCCTCTCCCCCTCCTCCTCCCCTCCGCCTCCTCCTCTTCCTCCTCCTCCTCCTCCTCCTCCTCCTCCCTCCTCCTCCTCCTCCTCCTCCCTCCTCCTCCTCCTCCTCCTCCTCCTCCTAAGCCTGCTCCCCCGAACCTCGGCAAGGGCGCCGTCCACTCCGCGGTGGCCGCGCGCCACGCCCAGGGCGAGGGCCCCCGCCAGCAGGCCCAGGAGCTGCCCGCGCCCCGCGGGGCAGCCGGCAGCCGCCCGCACCGGCGCGCACACCATGGAGGATCAGGCCGGGCCCCAGGGGTTCCCTTCTTGCTGGGCCGACTTCCCACCAGCACCACTGCCACAGGCAGGAGGAGGAGGAGGAGGAGGAGGAGGAGGAGGAGGAGGAGTAGGAGGAGGAGGAGGAGGAGGACCTCCCCATCCTCCCTTCTCCCCCGTCCTGCCTGTGGTGCAACAGTGGTGGTGGAAGATTGGCCCATCACTTCTGACGCGGGCGAGATTTACACCCAGACCCCCTCGCTTCGCGACGAAATCACGACGGGACTTTTCTCGCTCTTTCTGGGCTCCAGAGGGCCCCTCCCGGGCCTCGGGACCGTCAAGCAAAGATTCAGGATGAAGGACCGGTCCCCGGGGAAGGGGTCCGGGCTTCTCTCTGGGGGCCACGGCATGGCAACCTCACGACGTCGGGGGTCTGGGCACGTCGGTCGGAAGAAGTAGGTAAAGGCACGAAGTGGGAAGGCGGATGCAGCAGATTGGGCTCAGGCCCTTCCATAGAGAAAAGCAGAGCACAGCAAAAGTAGCTCGACTCTTGAAGTATAGGCGGGCGCCCAAAGTAGACTGGGGTCCGGAAATCCAGAAAGACCTACTTTCAACGACCGGCGTGTATGTACGTATCCGCTGCGTCTTGGACTTTCTGGGAGGGGGCGGCCAAAGGGGCGCAGTGGATCTGGGTAAAGACCTGTAGCCTCTAGGGCCCAGTTGCTTGTCCGTGTCCACTGCGCCTCTGGTTTCTGGGGAAGGGAGCCCGAAACTCCAAGACGCAGTGGATAAGGGGACAAGTCTTGCCCGCATCTGAGCCCGCTCGGCATGTGAGCCCATTCGGCCGCCGAGTGGACGTGAGATTGAGCCCTCTCTGCCGCCGAGCGGGCCAACTTCGCACCACTCTGTCGGAGTGGAGCCCCTTCGGCGTCCCATTCGGCGGCCGAATGTGCTCAGGAGCGGCTCAGGCGCCGAACGAACTCGGAAGGTTGGGTGGCAACTCATGGGAGCCTCGCGTTCCACCTTGCCGGCTCTTGCGAATCGACGCTAGTCGACGCTAAATCGACGCGAATCGACGCTAAATCGACGCTAATCGACGCTAGCCGACGCTCAAGCGCGGCACTACCTCATCGACTCCAGACGCTAACCGACGCGAGACGACGCTAAAGATGGAATTGAGAGGGTACGCCGGGCTCCCATGCATGATTTGCCGCCGGAAGAGGAAATCCCTGGGGGGGGCGCGGGCGCCAGCTGCCCAGCAACCCCGAACTCCTGCCGTCGTATCATTTTCCGCGCCCAGCGCTGTGTCGACCGGCCTTTGGGCCCCCAGGGGGCCCCCTATCACGGGTCGAGTCGGCTCGAGAGGTGCCGCAGAAAGTCGGGCGGGTGGCATTGGGGGGTGACCCAAGTGGGGGGTGACGAACAGGGCTCCACACGGGCCCTTGCTGGCTTCCAAAGGCGCCCTGGAGTGCCGCATTCAGCGCCCTTCTCTTCCCCGCCCCCCCCCCCACCCATTTGGGTCACCCACCATTGCCACCCGCCCGAGCAAGACTGGGCCCACAGGGCTCCGGTCGCGATGTCCCACGATGCCACCCTGTGGCCGCGACGCCGGATCTCGGGGGACCCCCGCGGGCCGATGCGCGGGCCCGGGGGTCGGGGTCGATCGCGGGCCGATCGCGGGCCCCGGGGGCCCATCGCGGGCCGATATCGTGGACCCGGGGTCGGCGCACGGTGCTGCCCTGGCCAGGAGGCCAGACAACCCATCGGGAGTTTTCCGCAGCGTCGGCCCCCACAGGTCTGGACCTCTTCCCCGGGACCGGTCTTTCATCCCGAGTCGTTTTCTGACGGCCCTGCTGGAGGCCGAACGTAGCGAAAGACCTCCCGTCGGGATTTGTTCACAACGCTCTGAAGGTAGGAAAAGGGTGTGGTGTGAGGGGTGGTGGTGCCAAAGCTGGATTGGCGAGGTTGTCTATCGTAGATAGCATCGCGATTTCCACGATTGGCACCACACCCCTTCATGCCTCATGCCACACCCCTGTCCAACCTCCAGAAACGTGAGCGGGTCTGGCGAGGGCGCAGGCGCGGATCTTTCTGGTCGGGCCGGGGCTGGCGAAGTGGGCAGCTGGCACCGCGTGGCTCGGGGGCTTGTTTTTCTTTAGGGGGGTGAAAGGCTCGATGGCCTGTGCTGAGCTCACGAGCTGCGATCCCCCCCGCGAGTCTCGCACGCCCCGCCCGCCGCAGCAGGCTGCGGGCACGCGCGGGGAGACGGAGAGGGGAAGAGAGGCAGGAGAAGCAGGAGGAGGAGGAGGAGGAGGAGGAGGAGGCAAAATCCCAGACCTTCCACCGCCCCGTTTGTTGCCACGCGTGGGGCCCTGGAACTCTCGACGCAGCATTCGTAGTTATGCATGTGGCACTCGTGGACCGATTGGTGTAGGTCCTGGCACCTAGAACGGACCAAGCCTGAAAAGTCGAACGTAAACCTTCTCGTTCGATACGATGGGATCGTCCTCAAGGCCGGCGGTATCCAATGAATCCCCTGAGGAAGCCAAGCAAGGATTTCTCTGGAAGCTCAGAGGTCCGTCAAAGCTTGGAGGGCCGCCAAGGAAACCAGCGCCAAACTGGATGGAGGTCGTGCGCCTTCGGTCCGCAGAGGAACTGAGACGAAGCCGCTCTCGCTCTCCAACTCCGTCTCGCTCCTCCGTTCCTTCCCTCTTCTCTACTCGTCCCTCCTCCTCATCCTCCTCCTCCTCATCATCCTCACCATCCTCCTCCTGCTCCTCCTCCTCCTGCTTCGTCCCTCCTCCTCCTCGTCATCCTTCTCCTCGTCGTCCTCAACCAGCGCAGCCACAGGGAACAGAACAAGCAACAATCCTGGGGGGGGGGGGGGGGGCTCTTCGGCCTCCGGGCCCGATCGGGGAGAGTCTCCCAGGATGTCTGTTCACCGCTTGGTTTCCAAAGAGTCCGCCCAGCGGCCCCCGCTCGCTGGGCGCTCCGCCCGCGCGCTGCGCCGAGCCTTCCACTCTCCGACGCCACGGGGGCCACGGCCCGTGGCCTGCGGTCGGCCCACCTGCGACGCCACGAAGCCACACCACCGCCCCCCCTACAGTCGGGGCGTTGACCGAAGGAGCCCTAAATTAGGAACGAGGCCCCTTTTTTCCATGAGTTAAACTTCGATTTCCCATCGAAAACCTACGGAAAACAGAAGGCAAACTGTGAAACAATTGAGGAACACGGAGCCCCTCCCAAACGAGAAGGGTTCCTTCTTCAGCGCCCCGACTGTACGCGCGCCTGCCTTGCGCAGCGAGCCCAGCGCTCCTCTCCACTCGGCGATCGTGCTCGCTCCTCCCGGCGTCATCCTCGGTGCCCGAGGGCGGTGCGGCTCCCTCCTGGCGGCAGCCAGCTTCAAAATGCCTTCGGCGGGGGAGGGGGGGGGGCCTATTCAGCACTGCAGTGAGCACCGAAAAAACCGGGGTGATCAAGACTCGTGCTTTCCCGCGACGTCCGGGGTCTGGGCCGCCCAAAACTGACCCCCGTGCTATCCTGCAGCGCGCTCTGGCCAGGCTTTCAAAATGGATCCAGCCGTGGCGACGAGGGTGCCCCTGGAGGCCGAAAGAAAATGCGGCAACCTCCCCTCCCCTCCCTCCCTCCCTCCCTCACACCCCCAACCCTCTCTCCCCTCCCCCCTCCCCTCCCCCTCCCCTCCCCCTCCCCCTCCCCCCCTCCCCCTCCCCCTCCTCCGCCTCCTCCTCCTCGTCCTCCTCCTCCTCCTCCTCCTCCTCCTCCTCCTCCTCCACATCGCGATCCTCTTCCCAACTGGCGGCTTTGGGAGCGGGCATTCTCGGGAGGCTCTGGACGAGGCGCCCCTGATGGAAAACACACTGGCGCCCGAGCGCTCCAAGGACTCCATCAAAACCTTCCTTGCCCCCTCCGTCGCGGAGGGTGGCCCCTTCCTCCTCGCTCGTCCTCGTCCTCTCTCTCTCTCTCTCTTTCTTCTCTCCTCCCTCCTCCCCCCTCATCCTCATACTCGTCCTCTCTCCTCTCTCCTCCCTCCTCCCTCTCTCCCCTCTCTCCCCTCTCTCCTCCGCCCTCGCTCCGCCCGCCCCATCTCGCCCGCGGAGGCCCCGCCCCCCTCCCCCCCACCACCACCCCCGGGTCGCCGCCGCCGCGGAACCGCAGGTGCGCGGTGTGCTCCTCGAGCTGGACGACCAGCTCCTGGGGCCCCCGGGGTACCTCGTGCTCTTCGGCGGCAAGCGAGTGGCCCAGAGATCCAACGCATTGAAACAATCAAGACGGAGGTTTCTCGCAATGTTCTGCCTCGAGGGGCCCTCGCCGGGCCCCGGGACCGTCAAAAAACGACTCAGGATGAAAAACCGGTCCTGGAGAATGGGTCGAGACCTCCGGGGGCCCCGCATTGAAAAAAACACGACGTCGGATCTCTGGGGGGGGAAGCGAGAAGGAGAAGGCCTCCTCGGAAGGCGGCGGGACTTCTCGGAAGCCCTCGCGCCTTCTGAGAAGTCGTCTCCGTCTTCGGGGAAGGCCCAGGAGACTTCTCGGGAGGCTGGGGGACTTCCGAGCCTTCTGAGAAGGCCTGCTCCTTCTCACTTCCCCCCCTCGCTCGCCGCCGAGTTCTGCTCTCGATCACGATGAGTGCATCGATTAACAGCCTACGGAACTGAGGCCGTGAATTTTTGCTCAGCGTGTCGCGACAGCGGCCGTGGCGAAACGCTGTGCCCTGCGAGTGTCGCTCCGCTCAGCGGGGCGGGAGGCTGGGACAGTGACTGACGCTCGGGGGCAGGGAAGTGACTGGCGTGTCGCGTCGAAGCGTGGTGGGTCAAAACCGGCGGCGCGGCGCGTCAAGCGCTGAGCCAAAGTTCCTGACCGTAACATACGACATACGGTAACGGCTCCCGATCAGAATTTGACTTCGCTGGGTGCCCCACGAGCCTCCTAGGACCATCGCGGAAGAAGACATTCCAGCAGGCCAGCTTCTTGTTCCATTTCTTCGACTCACACGCCCCAAACACAGTAATTCAGCTGCCTCTCAGGACTGCTACCCCAGTCGCAAGAGCAAGGCCCAGTTTCACGCGTGAACAGCAGCAGGCCTGGGAGAACGGAAACACCGCCAGGGGAA